CGTGGACGAACTGAAAGAGAAGTTGGTCAACGTGCATGAACTAGTGAGGGGCCGGATCAAGATTGCCAGTGACCGAATGAAGACCCGTTATGATGTGAAGGCCAACTGTGGCGGATTCCAGGAAGATGACTTAGTGTGGCTGTATAACCCCCGACGGAAGAAGGGACGTTGCCCAAAACTGGCTCCTGACTGGGAAGGTCCATACACTATCGTCACTAGAATAAATGACGTAGTTTATCGGATCCAACGTGGACCAAAGACGAAGATGAAGATCGTTCATCTCGATCGACTAAAACGGTACGAAGGAAACAACGAAGACGCTTCCGATCGGGACGATCGGATTTGAAGAGGGGGGCAGTGTTACGAAATACACCCTTACGCCGCCCCAGTACGACGCCTATGGCGGTCGAGAGCCTTCTGGACGTACGCACGGCGCTGATGGGTGAATCATCGCTGTTGACGGCCGAGAGGCGGGCGCATAAAGACAGGTCTGGAGCGTCTCGAAGCGGCGTCCAGGGGAGTCTCGAAGCGGAGTCGCGATGGATGTTCGTGAAGGATCTCGATCAGAGACTATGGGTTTAAATAGAGGCGACCGTAGGTAATGGATTCATTCATCCAGTGAAGACAGTCGAGAGCGCCGGAATAATTTCTGTACATATTCGTCGCAATAGATAGTGTTGTAATTCGACCTGAAGAAATAAATTTTTTGAGTTTTACCAACACCCGATTTATTATTCGTCCGTCAATCGTAACAATACTCTTTTCCGCACCACCTATGAGGTACAGTATTATAGGCACGTTTTTTACGTGATATCTCCAGTAAACCTATTCCAATATTACTATTTATTCCTGTGTGTGTTTATACTAGAAGGGGAAAAGATTTATATGAACTACACATGACGCGAATGCAAATAAAAAATTTTAATTGTACAATCTTTTCTTTCCAATTTGTCTAATGGGTTGATTTGTTTAATAACGAGAATCTACTCTCTCCGGAAGTAAGGCATAAAATAAAATTTTTCTCTCTATCTATTTCGCTCTATCATATTATTTTCCCAAAATTTATCATCTCGTTGAATTAAGCATTATTTAAATTGGACATTTTATATATTTCTAAGATAGCGTTTTTGTTTATTAAGCCCTCTGGCGATGCCGCTAAAAATGTACAAACCGCATTGTCTTATTGTCAGTTTGGTCTTACTGCAAAATGCTTCAGTTGCCCTTGTTTCATTTTCTATGCAAAGATTTTGGGCGAATACATGCTGAACTAGATTTGCAGGGATGTAAAATGTTTTTCACAGTACAGTAGGATTAGCCGTGTTACTTGTTCTCTCATTTTGTAAATTTTACCAAAATAACGTTCGGTTAGTCTAAAGGACTTTTCTGCGCACCATTCTGGATTATTGCGTTCGCCAATTGTGTTTTGTTCGATTAAAAAGACATCAAGGTTTGAAAGTTTTTTGAGAAATACTTTTTGCGCTGTGACATATCAGGTATTTCAACTGCCTCGTTATTAGATACATCATCGCCCGAGAACTTGTATGATCCACAGACCGGAGCGCGCTCAGGCCAATGTCGACTCTATAAGCCTCCAGAAATTCTGCGGGAAATAGTTATTATTTAGATGCTTTTGTTTACACACGTCTCACATGTTTCACTCGACTTTGACACTCAACTATTTTTTTATTTATATTGATTTACGTGTCCTTGCAAAATGTTGATGATTTCATCACAAAATTGTGTACCTAAAGTAAAAATTTAACTCGAAAATGCTGGATATGTTTCATTGTATTTTACGTGCGAGGGAAGTTCTGTCGAAACAACTTTCCACCAATTTTTCTTGCTGTTATATTTGAACATAAACAGTTTATTTTATGTATTTTTAAAACATTATAAAGAAAATAAAAAGTTGTGTTAGACTGAACCTTGTGGGTTTCTCAATCTATTTTCCGCAGCATTTTAAACTTTCAACTCAATTTCTTTCAAAATAGATAGAAATGGATTTCGATGGGTTATTTCCCTGTACCCTTCATTTCAAAATAAATAAGCTTATCTGGTGTTGTTTACCGATTTGCATTTTATGACGGACTCCCTACAGTGACCATAATCTCTCCTCTCTTGGGTCGCTACCTGGCGTGCATCCGTACTTTGGGTTGCATAGTTACAAAAAATAATTCTTCTCACTGAAACCGATTTTGCGGGCGACGACTGGGTACCCTTAATACGAGGATTATTGATGCAAAAATTTGGCCCTTTCGGAAAAACATTTAAAACCACCCCCAAAACAGACTTGCAGACTGGGGGTCAAAAATACTACAATCAAGTCAAAACTCGACATTTGCTTATTTATCGATATGAAGATTGTTGACCTTGCAGACTGGGCCTTAAAATATTATTACTAAATCGAAACTTAGTCTTTAGGTTTTTATCTATACGAGAAGTGATAATGCAAAAAAACAGCCTTTTTTAAGCTGCTCTTAACAAGTACCCCAACAGCAATTTTTCATACTGAAGCTTAAAAATACTCCAATTCCAATTGAGTCGAAAGTTAGTACTTGCTGAATTCTTTACACAAAAAATATCATTTTAAATATCAGTCACCTTGAAGCAACTTATAAAAATGATTGACAGTTCACGTCCATTTAAAGTACAAGTAACAAATTTCAAACTTACATAAAGAGGCAATATTTCTTAAGTAGGTGGGCACCATGGAGGTAGAATGGGAGGAGGGAAGATAGTTTGAAAAAATGCGGTACCGCGCTTTCCACTAGGGTCGTAAATGGCTCTTCCAGATCTTCCGAGAAACTAGTTGTTCCAGTGGCGTGCTCGAAAGCGTTCGCCGGGTACTGGGCATAAAACAAAAATAATTTGGTAAGATTGAATATAAAAGCAAGTTGATAGCAATATTTTTGTTTTTACATCATAATTATGCAAATAATAAGATGCTTTTACTACCTATGAACCCATTCTAAACCAAACGGCGTCACCCCTGATTATTTGTTTTTGACCGAACGCTACCGATGTACTACGGCAAGGGTCATAGATGGCTATTCCGTGAAGCTCTTTTGCCGACGTTCCTTTAGCACTGGTTCAATAAAGCAGGCTCCCTCCTGTCATTCTACCTCCGTATCGTATTTTTAACTCTCAGTCTGCAAGGTTGTTTCGGGAGTAGTTTTAAAAGGTTCGTCCGAATGGGCTAAAATTTTGCATCACTAATCCTCGTATTAAAAAATAAGAAAATACCCCCCAGTCTGCAAGTCTGTTTTGAGAGTAATTTTTAAGGGTTTCTGCGACCGGGTTAAAATTTTGTGTCAACAAATCTCGTATTGACCCTTTTCCTGTAAGCAAAGTGAGTAGAAATTATATAAATTCCAGTGATACAGAGTGAGACAACATCGCGCAGGCGAAGTCAGATTTTTGGAGCGCCAAGTTAAAATTAACCCACGGCTGTTTAACCAATGAGCGACAGGTTACGCATGTGTTTCCGGTTGCATTCTGTCAAAGCGGTTTGTTGTCACAGATGTCACAGGCATTTGCTCTGCTGCCGGAGTGCCGAATACTATTTCCAACGTGGTTTTGAAGATGCGTGCGCACGGAAAGTCACTACGAAAGTTTTACGATCTTACAGGAAAAGGGTCAATTGAGAAATAAGCAAGTGTCGAGTTTTGAATTGAAGTATATATTTTCAACACCCAGAAGTTTCGCCGAACGGACTGAAATTTTGTATCAACAATCTTCGTATTGAAAAATAACCAAATGTCGAGTTTTGACTTGATTCGAGCATTTTTAACCCCCAGCCTGCAAGATAAACAGTGGTCTGCAAATTAAACGGGCCTATTTATTCGGAAAAATTTTGAGACGACGTCATTAATTAATATACCCTGTATAAGCAAATCTAAAAAATATGAATGCAATGATAAATTATAGACTGATCATATTTTGCACATTTTAGATGGGATTTATTCGGCAAAATTTTGAAGTGACGCCATCAATTTTTTAGGGGGGATGAGCAAATATATTTTGATCAAAAATTTACTATGCTTATGATAACTTTAAAACATCTTCAAGAATTCAAAGCATGCAGATTAAATTAATAAAATAAATTCACGCATTTCATTAATTTTTTTCAGTCATATCCTTTGTAAGCAAATGCAAAAAATATGGATTGAATGATAAATCACAAGTATAGACCCCAACATATTTTAGACATTTTAAATAGGACCATAACTTTAAACATCTCCCAGATTTCAAAACAGTCGGTTTTGCAGATTCAAAATCAAATTGCAAAATATTGTTTTACACTTTTAATTTTTTTTTACAAAAATTTGGACGTTTCTGGTAAAAACTCAATATGGAGTCATAAACTACATGTGTAGGACCAACAATGTAGGACTATGTTATTTTATACAATTTAAATTTACTGTGTACAATTTTGAAGCGACGTCATCACATTATTGGTGGGGATAATTAGACAAATGTTAGTTAACGTTTTGTCATCTGCATGATATTCCTAATACATATAAATACAAAATTTGACAACAATCGGTCCGGTACTTCCAAAATCCGGAACGGCAGACATCCGGAAACGGGAGACCTATTTCTTCGTAATCCAGGGGTCATGAAAGGTCGACGGACTCGATTACAATACTTTCTTCACTTACGCTCGGGTAGTAAAAAAATCGTTGCGTACTCGAAATGCACGGTTGTTCTTTTAACACCGAATTTTCTGGACTATTACACGTGTTTATGGAATAATCAAAGTTTCACACATCTCATATTAGAAAATCGTTAAAAAACTGATATTGCACAAATTACACTCGCTGGGGCATCGAATACGATTCATTTTGTTAAAAAATTACCCCTTTCATGAAATTACAAACTTACAAAATTAGACGCACCCCTAATTTTATTATTGTGTTAAACTTAAATCGTGCGGACTTAGGGGACTAAAAGCGACAACTTGGGTTTCTATAGTCTACTGGACTGTAAAGATCATACACTTAAGAAAAGTTTTCTTTATTTGTCCTAAGATTATACAAGGACATTAACATCTTAATAAAACTAGCGATTAGATTTCGCTACACGTTCCAATTCATCCTTCTTCTTAATAGCATATGAGTTAGAAGAACCCTAAAACAAAAGAGAAATCAATTAAACAAAAAAAAATGGATCCCAGATGTATGAACTCTTATTAAATCAACTAAATAAATTGGTGTAGCAAATTCATGTTAGGAACTTTATTTAACTACAAGACCGTATGATGAACGTGCTTTTCTATAGTCCTTAGCGAAACGGCAGAACTAGTAGTGGTTGCTCTGTCGCATTAGAAAGGACAACTTAAATATGGTTGAATTTTCAACATACCTTCGCCGCATTTATTAATTCGTCGGCTAGACATTCAGCGATCGTCTTGATGTTACGGAAAGAGGCTTCTCTTGCGCCTGTACACAACAACCAAATAGCTTGGTTCACCCTACGCAGTGGAGATACATCAACTGCCTGTCTTCTCACAGTACCTGCTCGTCCAATACGAGTTGAATCTTCACGAGGGCCAGAATTGATAATTGCAGTAACCAACACCTACACAAAAAAAAAATGTAGTTAGATGATTAACACAAAAACATATTGTATTGTACTAAATTATCAAATACAATCAGAATATTCATAAAATTCAACAAATTATTTTCTGAAGAGGTGTCAGAAAAAAAAAATGAAATCATCATTAAGAGCTGTCAACATGAATAAAAATTTCAATATCATGTTACCAGAAAAGAAAAAACAATACTGCACTAACCTGAAGTGGGTTTTCACCAGTCAGCAGATGGATAATTTCAAAAGCATGCTTGACAATACGGACTGCCATCAACTTTTTGCCATTGTTTCTGCCGTGCATCATTAAAGAATTTGTCAATCTTTCTACGATAGGGCACTGTGCTTTACGGAATCTCTTTGCAGCATATCGACCAGCTGAATGTGGTAAATACTTAGCATTCTTTTCTTTAACGGCGATGTAATCCTACAATTTAAAACAACCATAAAACAACTGGAACAAATTTATGAACTAGAATAATTATGTTAATAAACATCAGATAACTATACACCACGGTTTTGTCTGAAGAGGTGTCAGAATATTATAGTCATTTCATCATTTTTATGGTTGTAGACAGTTAAAATCAAACAATTAAGTACCTGTAAAGACATGTCGGAGACTTGTACGTCATCACAGCTCCACCGTGTGAACAATTTAATTTCAGGAAGTTCTGCCATTTGGGGGACAGGAATTGCCCCCGCTTGGATTTCATCATAGTCGTCTACCATTCTTCACCCTACAATACACGCCATTATTTTCATATCCTCCTAACAAACATAACCTAAATATTTAAGAAAAAAAAATCAGTTCTGCAACGTTCAACAAAAACAATTCTGTCAAGAGGTGTCAGAAAGTATATACAATTCATCATTAAATAGAACATTATCATCCACTTTTACTATTTATATGGCAGGCATTCTGCTGACTAAAACACGTGTTGGTGAAAATTTTCAATTTCCTCAAAAATGATGCATTCAGTTACAAATTTAATACACTAAGGATATATATGGACCGTTTTTAGAAAAATTTTAAGTACATACCACTACTTACTTGCCAGTATTTATTAAATTATTAATAAAAACTGTTGTTCGTGTTCACTGTACAAATGCGTGAACCGGAAAGAGAGTACGCCGCCAAGATGGCGTTCTCTACATGAACTGTCAAAATTATAGTCCTCTTTTTCTAATAGTTAAAACAGGTGTGCTTCTATCTCTTTTTAACTTACGTGGATGAGTTTATGAAAATTTAACCTTCTTGTTGAATCGGTATAGAAATGTAGTAATTTTTACATGCTACTATTGCTTACCGGAGACCTTTCAAGTTCTTTTAAGCGGGCATTTTAAATATATATTGTTTCATTAAATCTTTGTGTATTTAGTGATTAGCAAATAGCACAGATGACTCCTGCCAACATGATGTAATATGAACACAGTAATTTTGTGTTTTCTGAAAAAGTATTCCTTCCTTGATTTACAATTTTGACTAAGGGCTCAATTGCTAGGGTTTTTGTGCTGGGTAAGTTTATCGATGTCATTGACGTAGCTTTGGTTGTTAAAGTGACATTGTTGTTGAAATTATGAGGTGCAATTTTACTTGAAATATGAAGTTAAATCATTCTGTGTTTTCGATAAAACGTTTTTCCACATGTTTATGAGCGACTTGTCGCTAAGTTTGCAAGTGCACAACTTGCGTTCCTATACGTATTGACATGACGTTGGAGGACCCTTTTTTTGTAGTGAAAGAGTAAGATTTTGTGAACAATAAACTTAAGACTTTGCGGTTTATAATTTGGTTGTGATTATTTTTATAATTTGCACGGATTTGGTGTTTGTATTTGCATGAGCTTTTGTGAACCATATATGTTGTAAATCTTTTTATTTATATTGATTTTGAGTTCATCAATGTAAACAAATTATTATAATGAATTATAAATACGATAATTAAATTTTAGTGAGGTATTTAAAGCTTTGAATAAAACAAGAGGACTGTATCTTCGATGGACTGAATTACAAGATGATTCTATTTGCATCACCAAAGATGAAGTAGAATGGACCAATACAGAGTTAAAAAACTCACTTCGTAGCATAGAATGGGACCTAGAAGATTTGGAAGATACAATTGATATCCTTTTTTTTTTCTTTCATAATGCCTAAATCACTGTTGATGTTATAATCTGATTAAATTAGTAAAGTTGGTGTTGCTTAAAATCATTTGCTTGAGCAAGTTGTGGTGTAGCTTTTATGGTCATTGTTAGTCCAAGTGTGGCCATGCTTGTGGTGTTATAAATAATTATTACACTATCGATTATTCCTCAATTGCATGTTGATGTATCTTCACAGATTTTTAAAAAGATTTTCAGTACTTGATTTTTCACTCGTGATTCAAAAACTATAAAAAAGTAAATGGATTTGTCCAACAATTTTTTGATTAGTTGGTAGATAGTATAGTTAGTTTTTTAGCGTTAATTTGTTAGGTTTCCCTTTGCTTATGCATTGTTTTTCGTTACATAAAACTGTCCAAAGTATGTGTTTACATTATGAGTAACATCAACATAAATTTTTAGTCTAGGTTAACATAACAGATAAAGTGCAGATTGTAGGCAAACAAGTAAATTTTGATTGTTTGTAGATGCATCTCATTATTTCATGGTAAAATTGTCATATAAATAATTGATAGTAATTTTGAAAGAAATTCCACAATTTTAATGTAGTGTCACATTTCATGGCTGTGTTGTAATCAATGAAGATACAGTTTCAGTTCTGAAAAAATACTCTAAAACTTTAGATTTCACCTCATAAAAATAATTCCAGTATAATTTAAGATTTCAAAAAGAAAGATACTTTTTATTTAATTAAATTTTACAAAATTCGTTTGTGTGGAAATTGCCCATACACATTAAAAGGGATTTGGCATGTTGTAGCACTAGCAAACTATCTGTTTTAATGAACATTTAAATTATTATGCAAATACATTATACTTATTTTTTGTTCTATTTCCTATAATTTTCACAAAACTATCACTGCACAATGATTGCTGATGTTTTCTAATTTAAAAAACGTTTATTATTATTATTATTAATATTTTACCAAAGTGTTTTGCTTTTTCTATTTTTATAATAAATAAAAACTGCAGGGACGTAAATCCAATTTATTAACAATATAACAAAACATTATATTCCCAAAAATTTAGTAAGAAATTAATTGTGTGTTGGTGCATGCAACATAACTGACTTTCACAAACAAATGGACTTACGGCTTTGGAAAAACGTTATTATCTACGGTTTCCTTAACATGTCTGTACATATTGTAGAAAAAAATCCTTCAAAGTTTAAAATCGACAACAAGGAACTTACGATCCGAAAAAATTTTATCGATACTACACGTGAAGAAGTAAAGGTAATTGAAAACTCATTTTTAGTAGAAACACAACGAACTGTAGTAGGTAATAATTAATAATAGCTCACTTCTTGTCCTGAAATTTCGTTTTGTATATTAACACAGTTGGGCACATTGTTTGTCTCAGCTTAATTTTGATACTTTCAAATGTAGGTTTTACAAAACCGAGATTTTAATTATGTGAAAAGGGTTAGGTGAAAAAAATGCCATGTTTTCCCTTTATTTTCACAACCTGGGTATTTCACTAATTAAGAATTAACCTATATGCAAACTGCATTAAGTTACGGATTTATCATGCTCAATTATTATGTCATCAGATCTTTATGATTAGTAATATAATATTTTTTTTTATACTACAAATTTGAAGTTTACGACCTTCAGCTTAGTAGAACACATTAAGGTTGGCATGAACCATAAAAAAATTAAACCTAAATTTTCCATATACCTAAGTCATATCTAGATATGTCCACACAATCTCAGCTTGTCACATTTCTTAATTCTCTGTAACAACCGTCGGTTTCTGCAATTGTAAGTTATCGTACAAAATTCATTTCTTGCTTATACAATTGCATTTCCTAAAAAGTGTAGTGGCATCACAAATACAACGCTTTCTTTTCAGATTGCAGAGGTCACTTGAAGGTTATATATTTTTCTGTCTTTCACTGTGGTCTTTTGAGGATCGGTTGCTGTCTTTCAATATTTGAATAAGAGGTTTTGCGTTTTCGCAATTGAATTTCACTAATAGAAAGTAATATTTGCTGCAGAGTTAATTTGAAGTTGGTTGTACTAACATTCGCTGCATGGTTTTTTTAAAACGGACAAAATTTGCACATAAATTGTCGAAAATGGTATGAATGAATGTTGCAGATTCGACCTGTAGCCACAAAACCAGGATCCAACGTTGGCTGAATGAATGAAGCGAGACAAAGAATTGGTTTTTCGCATTCCCCAAAAAAGGAAACAGATTTGCTACAATTTTCTATATATTTCTATAATTTTAAGCGGTTTTCTTCTGGAGATCATACAAGATACAACTTAAAACCATTTAATAATAGGTTATTAAATCAGAATTATGAACATCGATAGAAATAACGATACAATCACTGTACTAATTTGAAGAAAATGAAATATGTTATATAAATTTTGATATGCTATGAAGATCATGGACCAGTTTTTTAATCCATAATATTGATAACATTTTTATTTTTATTGTTATTTTAATATTCTGGAAAAAAAAGCTTTGTTCTTAATGGTTTTATGTCGCCTAAATATACAGTAGTATATTTTACAATTTTTATCACTCACATAATAAATTTATTTAGGTTTTTCAAAAATATTTTATAAACGTTTTTGCGTAACATACTTTTTATTACACAACTAAAAAAAATAATGGATGTAACTGTTAGACCTTTCTCTTTACAACGTAAAATCCAAAGACAGTAACTTTTCCATAAAGATCACACATGGAATTTGAAGACTATTAGTAAAGATGGAAAAATATTTGGTTATGAGCAAGTTGAACAAGAAAAAGTATTACGTGTTCAATGTAAGTCATTTTTTGATTCATCAATCAGAAGACAACTAACAGATAACTAAACAAAATCTTTAGAATTCATTAAAATTGCAAAACCGATTTTTGTTGACAGCGAATTAATAAGTACGCTAAATTGAAGTAATATACTGACCCCATAAGTATTTAGTGAAACATTATACTATAAATAACAAAATGACATTTTGCTGCAAACTTCTATAAAACAGTATACCTACATATATTATTTTCATATTGCAGTGTATGAAAGATAAAATCAACATGAATCGAAATCGTGACCGTGACCGTACGGCACGACAGGTAATTCTAACAGTTTTCTAGATATTTTATCGCAAATTAATAAATATTATTCTAGCCCTTATTAGACAATAGTCCCGTCAGGGTTACCAATAGTCATGGCACTACAAAATACTCTAAGTTAGAAAACGATCTAGACAGTCCCCAGCGGCAATTTTTAAACGAAACGCTTACGCAGCAGCAATATATGACCAGGCAGCAAGAAGAACATTTGGAAGCCATAGGAGATTCGTTAGGGTCTTTAAAAACCGTTTCAAGACATATTGGAATCGAACTTGATGAACAAGCGGGGTAAGAGCGTGTTGAATACAGTCGTACTCTCTATAGATTTTACATACTGCAAACACTCATATCGACGGTAATGGATGAAAGGAAATTGACACTTAGCTAACAAAAACATATTTGCTTTGGAATGTGATACTAACTTTGCGTCACCTAAGGCATTTCTGTTTGTGCGTTAGAATAATTAATTTTTCGGTTAGAACGAAAATCGTAGTAAGAGCATTTGTTTTGTCGATTTTAGTATGTTGGACGAATTTGGGACGGAACTCGAAAACACCGATTCGAAGTTGGATTCAACGCTTAAAAAAGTGGCGAAAGTGCTGCATATGTCTAATGGTAAGATTGTGTTATAAAATAAAGTCTGATCTGAAATATTTTCGTTTTAGATCGGAGGCAGTGGACGGCTATTATAGTACTATCCATCATTCTTCTCATTGTGATAATTTTATTTTCCATACTGTGATTTCGTTTTTAAAGGTTGCCAGATTTCAAGCCAATTTAATGAAATATTCTGAGTACAAATGATTAGTTTTATAAGTATATTTTTTCCTTGGTCTACACAGTTTTTTTAAGCACAAAAATCTTTTTGGTTATCTATTCTTAAGTAGGTTTAGTAACTCGGCGTGCCATTTTGTACAGCACAACTGTACGATTTTTAAATTCAGTATAGTGGTATGGTAGAAGTATCCTTATGGTATTTGTAGCATTTGGGAGTAATCATATATCTGAATAGTTGAAGTATATTTTTTAGTTATTGTGAGTTGTTTATTTATTATAACTGTATTGTACTAGTGACAAAAATAATAAAATACCTACAAATAATTACTTTTTTGTTAAAGTTTTTATGTGATCTTGTGGGTACGACTAATAACGAAAGAAGGTAGACATAATTACGGAATCATATTGTTTAACGTTGCAAAATCAGCAGCGTTTGTGGAGTAAAAAAAGTGAATATATATTTTTGCTCTCTGGTTATACATATGATAAAACATTGCACAGATTTTGGTAGCTATGCAGGGTAAAATTGGTTGCCTATGTAAATGCACCATGCTCAAAATTTATTCACATTGTTGGATCCTAGGGAACAATTTATTATTAGTAGCTATTTTTTAGGTGCAGTTTATTTTAATTGGAATTCTTATTTAAATTGTATTCAAATAATTTGCCATTATTATTCGAAATTGTTAATTAGGAAATAGAACAAAATTTACGGTTGCTCCTGTGCATTATCACAGAAGGGTGCGGGATTATTTTGATGTGACCTTTCCTAACATATGGATTGGGAAGGGATCTCTTAACTTTTCGTCCAGATATGAAACCTTTAGATTTTTTCGTGGGGCACAGTTAAAGGAATAGCTTACCCAACTCCTCTTAATAGCGTGGAATATTTGGAAAATGAAATAAAACAAATTTTTTATATTGATGATTTTTTTTAACAGAATTTCTGCCCTTACATCCGTGAATAAATTAATTGAGTATTGAAAATTAAATAGTTCTTTTTTGCATTAATGAAAAAAAAAATTGCACGCATAGAAGATAATGTTTATTGCTTCTATAACACCTAAAATAAAAAATAAAAATAAACAATATTAACCTAATGTGGAATTACAACCATAATAAGCATTCACGTTCGGTAGAAGTAACTGACAGAAACTTTTCTGTGGTTAAGTTGCAATCTTAAGATCACTAGAAATTTAAGATTGGCATCAACTGTCTAATTTTCTAATTCAAATGTCAAATCTGAATTGTGTGGAAAAAAAACGAAGTTTTTCTAATTTCAACACGCTTCGTTTCAAGAAAATCCTTAAATACAGCATGGAAACAATTTCCATAAAAGTAATCACGAGAAAGCTCATTTTAAAGGAAAAGAAACAAGAAATATTTCGTGGTTTTCAAAAAATTGGGTAAAACGGAAACAGTTAAACTGGTGGCAGAAATATTCTCCGTAAAGTTCGCTAGTGTTGTCGAGTGTTTTTTGAATTTTAAAATAATACAGATACAGCGGCGCTTGTGCCGTTAATATTATAATCAGAATCAGAAAGACGACTGCGCAGATTTATATACCTACATGCTTTGTTGGTTCCGTTCTACAATTGGTTTTTAAGTTTTATATAATCGTTATTGTTTTGTAAGAGGTAAAACACTCGGCTTTGAAAATAATTGTACGTAATACACGTATAAATTTAGGTTTCCGAAGGCGAAGTTTTTCACATTTTAAACACGTTATAGCTGCCAGAATCAAATTTCTAAGGCGGTACCTATCTCCAATTGCGTGATTGTGGTGAAGATTTACTTTTCATTTTCTTGGATGAGACATGGATATACCAGAACGGATCCATGGTGAAATTGTGGATCCATGATGATGACATCAAAGCTTGTCCTCCTAAAAAAACTAGTGACGGGAAAAGATTCAAAAATTTTCATGCGGGTTGCTCTTTGGGCTTTTAGAGGGATGCGATTTTCTCCTTGGTTCAAAAATAGATTCACCAGATTACCACAAAACCATCACATTTTCGATATTTGACCTTTACTTACTTACATGTCACATTTTTGATACCTACTTTCTGACATTCCAGTAATACATTATACACTAGAACAATTATGTCCGCAGTTACACAGCTTAAAAAAAAAAGTTACCAAATCTAGTTACATCTACCGAACGTGAATTCCTTATACATGCTTATACCGTATGATCCAAAACTTTTCAGATAAAGGTAGGCTGAGATAATAAATAGAGAGCGAAAATTTGAGGGAAAGAAATAGGACAAGCTTCGTGCGCGCATCACTACAAGCTCCCTTTACCTCAAAATCAAAAGTTTTGGGTCAAACTGTATTCCATCTGTCATATTCCTCCCACTCTCTCTCTCCATCTAAGTTTTTGATGGACCCGCGATTTGTATTCATTGCATAATTTTTGTTTTTAAATATTTCTAGACTCTCGTGAATGTGTAGAAATTTACAATGGTTAACAGATTACAGATTTATTGTCTTTGTCATTTTTATTGGAATACCACCTTTGGTTAAAATTTAGCAGCTGGTAACAGCTTTTGGTTCATTGAGAACGGTGTTTTAACAGAAATGGAATTGATTATAACTAATCTTAAACAGTTTGCGACTATTCTGTGGTCATTCTCACAAAATATGTTGAGCAACACTTGATTTTTTAAACGTTCCGAATTTGAAGTGAGGCGTGTGTTCTTTGAATCGCCTGATGATTGACCTTTTTGTTCAGAGGAGACTGAACACTCGTTTCGGCTGAATCTTCTGTATAATCCTTATACCTCCTCTGAAAATATTTCCTTGCCCTGATTTTTCTGAAGGGATTGTGGCCCAAAACGGTCTTCTTTGGATTTTCTGTTGGAAAAATAGATTTTTTCAACGACCACTATTCTAAATTAAAGTTTATTTTTAATTAATTTATCAACTAAATACGCCAGTATTATTTTAAATAGTTTTCGTGTGGACAATTTTACAACTGTTACATAATTTTTTTTTCTTACACTGTTACTGGTATTATTTCTATAGTTTTATGTATAGAGATTACTAGAAACAAAATGTAAGAACAACATCTTTCAAAGACGAGGGATTTATTGTTTCGGAGGCGAGAGAAGTTCGATTGAAATAACCTTCTTTCCTTTTTAATTTTATTTAAGGAAGCATATTAATTTCAGAATTCTTTTTACACTGTCCACTTCTGGCCATGTGATCTGACAATTTACCTACATTAGCGATTCCAAAGTTATGGTGCAAACTGCAAAATAAATAACAACTAGGGAAAAACCATCTACAAAATTTAGGCGTATCGTTGCTAAAATAAGCTCACCCTAACTAAAAAATTTAGGCATAACATCGTTTCTAAAATAAGCTAACCATCAATAATGTTATCAAATTTTACGAATCAAGGCATATAACCGTATGTTTAGGTTTCGCCAGTAATGTTGTGTTTTTATTTCAATAAAAATTTGAACTCTAGCATTCTCGAGTTTATAACGCTAACTGAATGAGTATTTTAGAATCATAAAATATGAAACAAGCAACATTTAATTACGTCAAACTCTATCAAGTGATTGAATTAATTCAAGTTTGTGATTAAATAAAAATGAAATTTATCGAGTTTTCGTTATGAACTATTTACATTGAAGTCAAAACACATGTGAAATAAACAGAACAGATAAATATCAAATGAAGTAGAAATCAAAATAAGGAGGTTCTGGGACGCATTTCTGCAATAACATCTCCAATATTCAGCTTGTCGAACGGTGATATACAAACAAAAACAAAAAGAAGCACAAATTTAATCGCACGTTTTCCCAGTTCACGATATTATTTTCAACAGATGAAAATTTGCAGTCTTTTTTCTCAGAACGGATCAGCGTTTAAGATTAGTTTAACTACCATAAATGAACTATTATAAATTTCGACTGAGAAGTTATGGAGTAAGGGTAAGGTAATAACTTAAGTAAATCATCCAGAAACTTTAGATATAACATGATGAACAACAGAATGAAGTTTGCATAAGTGAATTCCCTGACACGTGGTTTATTTGAACATTTACCCACATGGTTTTTAAATTATATTAGGAACATGGACAGTTAGAAGTCTTAACATGAATTGTGAATTTACAGTCAATAAAACAACATTAACTATTAACAATTGCTCAGCGCGAAATAAAAATTTCAAAAATCACGACACCACAACACTATTATAAATTTTTGTCTCAACGATTGCTGCACATTTTATATTTGAATTTTAATTCCGATAAAACATAACTAGAAATGGCAAGCTGCAATGTCACTGAACATGAACTCAGTCTGATAAATATTATAAAATCAGTGCAATTTTCTATAAGGTGAAACAAAGCAAACACAAATCACAGGTATGGTACATACACAATATGCAAAATTCTGATTCCATTTTTCACACATGAGATTGAAAAATTATTAACACAGTGATTTCAAAGTAATTACACTTGGGAGTGGCGGTGGTGTGAATGTAATTTGCGGAGATGCCCTCTGGTAAAATTTAACAAACAAAATTTAATATACCGTTTTCAAGGTATTGTCAGTCTAGTGTCAGGAAAACGAAAGAGGACGAGTTTCAACCGCACAGTTCTGTTACACCCTTATGCCATATGCCCTTCTTGTTGTGGGTAACGTCCCAATTTGAATTCGACCATCAATAATAATTGATGTGAACGCATGGAGGTGTGGTTGGTTGACTATATTATTGATGTGATATTTGTTAAATGAGATTTCATGACGCTTTTCTCGAACAAAATTTAACTTCGAATAGGGACACTACAATATTAATTTCTTACTTATTATGTTACTGAAAAACTTAATTTCAACGATGTTATTGCTTTGCCTATTAAAGTTTTCAATATTTTTTTTCTGATTATTTTAAATTTTTCGAATACCTTTTCCATAGTGATGGGGTACTTACGTGGTTAAAAACGTGTGACTTTTATTTTACTTAAATATGTTAACAATTAGAACACTTTGTATTTTTAATAAATGATGATAACTGCAGCAATACATAGTGTAAACAAACAGTTGTAAAAGTTGATATACAAAACGATTTGAACTTTACTCATGAAAATTTGAAACATTTATCAAAAATTGTTGTTTACTGGAAAGTGAAACTTTTAAGTTAGACGGAGAGTCAGGAAAAATTAAAATTACGGTTAATCGATCGAAAATTATTCCAGGGAACTTTGTAAATTGTTTAGCAACAAACAAAACTCCGATTTGAACCCTGATTTGAACGTTTTATATTAATTTTGTGAAGGAACCGATCCTGGTACCATTTTTAATTATGCCCTGGTAACTTGGTGCGATGTAAAATGCTCTCTATCTACATTTAAAGACTTTTTGACAGTTATAAGAAATTAGTTGTCACATGAAAATCTCGAACGTTTAATTATTTTAATGTAAACGCTCGACCTTGAAGACCGGTGCTCTATGTACGTTGGGACGTTTATGGATCAATTCCGCGAATCCAATCGCTGGTCATTACATCAAATAATTTTTTAAATATTTTTATTATTGATATGAATTTGTGTTGTTATAATTTATCAATTTGTTGCATTCGGAAATTTTCAGGGTGCCAAAGAAAACGATAGAAACCGCTGGGTAGTCAGTACGAGAAATGTTATTAAGAAAAAAAAACAAGGATTCAGCAAAATTCCGGCATTACAATAGAATTCTTTAAAGACAGGATCTAATGTGATTTACGTATGCACCAAAACTAAGACGACCAAGTGTGTTTAATTATAACAGTAAACAGGTAGGTAGTTGCACTGATATGAGGGTCATACACTTAAGATCTAAATTATTTTTTGGAAATACATATACATATACATATGTATATTATACTTCATTATCTATACTCTGGGTAGCAGCGCGCAACAACGATTATTGATTGTTGAATCCTTTTATTTTTCTAAATGTTTATAAATCACATTGTTAGGATAGTAAGATCTGAGTTCATGTAATTAATTTTGTTTTGACAATTAAATAGATGTTGGTTTGTAATAACGTAATTTTAATGATGCATAGGTACATTTAAATTTAACGATAATGTTAAATTCTAAAGCAATTTAATAGTAGGTATTAATGTTATTATACTCTAACTATATATCCAGTTATTAAATGTAGTATGAGTTAATTGAGTTTTATTCTTATGGGACAGAATTTATTACTGTCATATTATGAATAGTAATTTTTAGTTCATCTAGTACAGCGGTCTTCAAACTTTCTTGAGTAGTGGAACCCTTTGGGTTGTGTTATTATTTTTGGGAACCCATAGGTTAATATAGAAAAAAAAGGGTTTTTTTAATGTCCGCAACTCCTTTTACATTTAGTTACAGTTGATATTGTAATGAACACACATATTTTATTAATTTTATATTGATTAATATTAATACATCTTTTACGTAAATTTTTGGAAAAAAATCAGTGATAATTTAAATTGAAAAACATTGAGATTTAACAAAGATTTCTTTATTTTACTATAAATCACCTCCAATTCAATGGCTTGGGTGTGCTTGTGTATTTTCACATAAGACTCTGAAATCGGTTTCTGTTGTTAACTGTAAACGCACTTCATTTTCTGCATTTAATCGATTTCTGTACTTAGTTTTCGTTGCAACATACGTCGAAAACGATTTTTCGCACAAATACGTAGTGGAAAATGGCATTAAAATTGTTGCAGCCATTTTGGAAATTTCTGGATATTCTGTTGCAATGTTAAGCCAAAAATTAAGTAGATCTTCTCCACGTTTTGACAGCAAAGTAGAATCGGTAGCAATACGTTTGTATTAACTGTTCTTTTTCTTTAATTGCTAAATCATCAGATTTGTTATATTTTTAAGTGGGTCTTTACTCCAGTCATGATAAGCATTTTTTTCGCCTGGAAAATATTCTTTTGAAGTCGCTTTTAAATGTTCCAAAATACATAGTTTCACATCGTAGTCTAATTGTAGTTCATTTTCAATTAGAAAATTATTGAGTTGTACAATACATTCTACATTATTCTTTCTTACAATTGATTCCGACAGATCTAATTTTAATAGTAATGTATTAATTTTGTCCGAAACCTTGATAATATGTACCGTGAGTCCTTAAAGGGATATATTAATTTCATTCAGTATTGCAAAAATGTCTGCCAGGTAGGCTGCCAATTGTAACCAGTTTTGATCATTTAATTTTTGGGCATACTCAGATTTTCGTTCACTCAAATAAATCCTTACTTCATCTTTTAATTCAAAAAATCGGCTCAAGATTTTCCCTCGCGATAACCAACGCACCTCTGCATGTAGAAGCAAGGGTTTATGATTACTAGATAATTCCTCACATAGCAAGGTAAATAATCTTGAGTTTAATTCCTTAGATTTAATGAAATTAATAATTTTCACAACTTCATCCAAAACATCTTTTAATAGTTTTGGTATTCGTTTTGCCACGAGTGCATAATAACGATGAAGGCAGCAATGAGAATGTTGCATGTGTGGAGCCATTGCTTTTATTCGTGAGACTACCCCTTTGTTTGAGGCCAATAATGCTTTTGCTCCATCTGTACAAATATGTGAACATAGATCCCAAGTTAATCTATGGTCTTCCATATATTTATTTAATAGTTCGAAAATTTTTTCACCAGTAGATCTCTCGGTTAGAGGTTTGCAAAAAAGCATATCTTCTTCAATGGTAGAATTCCAAACATAACGGACCAAAACTATCAAAATCGCCAATCCAGCAACATCTGTTGTTTCATCCAATTGCATCGTAAATTGATGAGGAGAAGATTTTAAACGAGAAATTAATTCATCTTCACAAAATGATGACATTGTCTTGTGATTGTAGTATCAGAAAGAGGTATGGTGTCAATTTCCTTAACATATTTTGTAGCTTACATGTTATTATGTCTTTAACACAGGGTTTAATTAATTTTTCAGCAATAGTGTATGCCTGGCCTTCTTTAGCAATTCTGTAACTAATTCTAAAAGAAGCTTCAAGGGATGCCATGTTATCAGAGTATAATATATTTAGCAAAGGCAGTTTTTTTCTTTTTCAATTCATCACGCTTACGTTAACAATATTCTATGTTTTTACCACGCAAGCTAGAATGGTGGGAGTCCATATGTCTTTTTAATTTAGCAGGATTTAAACTAATATTACTAACAATTTTTTCACATTCAACACACCATCCATTCGGTTCATCTTCATTTCCTGTCCAAGTGAATCCAAAGTTAAATATGTTTCATCATATTTTCGTTTTTTCCTTGGGATGGATGAATCCTGAGATGCCGGAACAGATGTAGAAGTACTGGCTTCATTTGGCCTTCATGGGCCTTATCGTTGGATCACTTTCTGATCGCTTGAAAGTTCCAGTTTTCAGCCATTTATCCATTCTAAGATTAATTAAAGTACAACGTTATTGTAAAATGTATAAAGAATGATGAAAATCCAATAATTTTTCAAACGACAGTACTTACTTTGTATAATGATAATTAATAATCAAATCAATACTCCAGACAATATTTAGAATCCGCACTCACAAGTAATTCACACACGGCAAATACACACGAAGTGCAGAAGTGCAGAACTAACCGATAATTGCTGCACATGTGCAAATCTGGCGAATAATTCTCAGAAATCTCATTTGTTTTGTTTTCTTTGAAACTGCATTTCTGCGAAATTCCGCGGAAGGTTTTATAAACGGAAGTAGTAGTGTTTTTTCTTATACATTAAAAACTATTTCGTTGTAGAAACATTAATTTATTTTTACATTTTACTGAAAAAATATTTTTAATTTTTTTTATTTCCCTTTACATTTTTCTTGGAATTTTGGAATTTAAATTTTTTAGTAGCTGGAACCTTAGGCGGAACCCCAGAAACAGGGGCGCTGAACCCCAGGGTTCCGCGGAACACAGTTTGAAGACCGCTGATCTAGTATATGCATATCTGGGCCATCGTTTGATAAGGCATCAACTGAACTCTCATTTATGTGTTAATGTGACATATGTAGGTTTATCAACCTACTGGTGCATATCACATTCACATTTTTTTTTAATTTACCCAATTTAGCATTATCACTGTCAATTTAGTTTATATTGAAATCACCTACTTAAGTTATCTCATTATCGAAGATATTTAATTATTTATAGTATTTCACAAATTTCATCCAAGTGTTCTATATATAATCAGTTTATTTTGTCCTACGGGCTTAAATGATTCTTGATTAGAAATAAATATACAATTTCTATGATAAAAACAAAGAACATATTTAATTTTTTAATTAATAATAATAATAATAACAGCTCTTCTCCTTTATCCCATCCTCCCTTGTTTCAGCTTTACTTTGGTCCTTTCCATTTTTTTCATCCACCCTACTCTTCTTCCATCTTCATTCAATATTTCTATTACACTATTGTTTCTGTAATTTCTCCGCAATCATGTACAACGTGTTCTAATGTCTTTTGTGCTTCTCTACACACCCTACAAATTATTTTTTCTCTTTCATGCCTTCTCTATGTAGGTACTTTGGCACTGTCTCTGTTATCATCCTTATATATAACCTCCATTGTACCTAGATTCCTATATACTTGTCCTTATCTCTTGCTAATCTGCGTCTCTATCACGCATACACAACTTTTCTTTCATACTCATACCCATTTCTCTTTTTGTTTCTATTTCCATCCATGCGTCTCCCAGTCTGTTATTTTATAATAGTCTTGCCTGTTGTTGTAATGTCCTTTCCACTTCTTTTTTTTTTTCTCCAGCATTCGTATAGGATCATACATTCCTCTCTGTTTCAATATTTTGTCATACCTTACTACTCTCTTCCCGGTGTATACTCTTAATTTCTGTCCCTTACTTTCGTCTCCTATCCTGGGGTCTATTCTATCTCCTAATCTCTAACATCCTCCTGAAATATTTTTCCTGTACTGCCTCAATCTCTGCAGATTCCTTCCATCCCCATGTCTCTAGACCATACATTAACACACTCCTAATTAAGCATTTTCATCCTTCTTGATACGACATGAGTGTCATTTTCTCACCTATACCTCACACCTTTCTCATTATCTGCCCCCCAAAATCGCTGCCTACCCAAAATGCACGGCCTCATGCCGAATTGTCTACTATCTTATATCTCTGATTTTCCTCAATTTACGCTCGGAAAGTATTCTAATCGAAGACATCAGGCGATTCGCTACTTTTATGTCTGCTGTCTGTATGCCATCTGTCGTCTGTTATCTATCCTCATCTATGTCGATTTTTATTGGACAGACAATCTTCTAAACTATCGGACCGATTATTGTCAAATTTTATATGTATGTTAGGAATGTCGTGTAGATATTAAAACGCTAACCAAAATTTGCTTAATCATCCCCACCAACAACGGGCAGACGTCAGCTCCAAAAGTACATAAATGTTATTTAAATTTTAGAAAATAATAAACTCCTCCGCTTGTAGTTTATGAATCCCTGTTGAGTTTTTACTCTAGGTTTCCAGATTTTTGTAAAAGAAATTAAATCAACTTTGAAATTGCAAAACCAAATGCTCTGAAACCTCACATACGTTTTAAGGTTACAGGAAACATGGTAAATCGTTAATGAAAATTTATCCGTTTACGACCCCCTGCAAAATCGAATGCTTTGAAATCTTGTAGACGTTTTAAAGTTATCGTAAAATTGGTAAAATTGTAATCAAAATATATTTGGTTATCCCCTCCAAAAAATGATGACGTGATCTCATAATTTTGCCGAATAAATCCTATCTGTGCAAAATATGCTGAGTCTGTAATTGTGATATATCATTACATTCATACCTTTTAGAATTTGCTTACACAAGGTGACTCAAAAAAATTAATCAACGAGTCAGTTTATTTTATTGATTAAATCAGAAATGATTCCATCCGTTTTCCCGAAAATTTGGGAATATAATACTGTTATTACTAGTATTACATTGCACCCATCCAAACTGAATACGTGTCCTTGCAAAAATGTTGATTACGTCATAACAAAATGTTGTAAAGAAAAAACTCATTTGAAACATACGCGTAGTAAGCCTCTTTACATTTACTTTAAACATTAGATAGATATCTTTATTTTAAGTTATAGAGGTCCTCATTAAAAAAAAATAAAATTCGCAAAATTAAGTTTTGGAATTTTTCGAAAAAGTTGCAATGCCGAAGTCTGATCATAAGATAATTTTTTATTGTCAGTTTAGCAAAGGACAACGAAAGAGGGCCTTTAAAATGGGCCAAAGATTTGTGGATAAAATAAAAGTCGAAAAATTTCTGTTTATTAACTATCAACGGATACTTTATAAAAATCTTGATGTAATTTTATTTCTAAAAAGTCATAATATTTACAATCTCAGCTTATCACCATGTAGTTAAACACACAAACTGAACGAAAAAGTTGTTAAGTTTCCCCTAAGAACATACTTGACTTGATAAGTTTTAGATTTTCTAAAATTTGTCGAAGGGAAGTTGTAAAATGGTTGCCCAATTCAATATTTTTTATGCCATTAGTTGAATTTTGAAGCATCTCTCTTTTCTAAACTATCAACTACTGATTTTGTATTTATGTTTATTTATATGTACAAAGCCTGTAGAGCTATTTTAAGCCGGCTCTTGACAGTAACCGGCGGACATACTGGAAAGCACACTTTTTGTAACGCAAATCAGTGATTTATTGTTTGAAAAAAAAAAAAATTCAAATGTAGTGAAATTTTATTTAATTTCAAAATCTAAAAGAAAAAGTAACATGTTTGCGTAAGAAAAAAAACAATCGAAGGAAATAAAAAAAAGTCAGCGAAATATGTCAAGAAAACTTTAGTGTATAGTAGAAAACGAAAAAAACGGAATGCATCATTTCCATTTATGAGGAGAAGAGATAATTTTGATAAAAAATAGATTCAGTGTTGTGTTTCTAGTAGCGGGTTTAAGGAAATCGTGCCAACTTTATAAGGGATGCCTTCAGTTATGAATGCGATATTTGCTGGTGGCATCAGAACAACACGTATAAATAAATTAATAACGTATGTTTTTTGCGAGCAATTGTTGCTGTACGATATTATTCCCCAGTTTGTGCAATAACAACACAAAAGTAATGTCTTGAAAAAAAATTCTGATTTTTTTATTGTTTCTAGTTTCTGATAAATATCGTTCAGCACGTGTTATTTATGTAACTATGACTAACTTATTTGTCACAAACTGTTTCTTTTAAATATAAGTTCTGTTCATCAATTTTAAATAAATAAATAGTAAAGTTATGATTTCGCAAATGTCAATTATATTCAAAAACGCCTAATATATCTACGATTTCTTCAGTTTCATCAATTTATAGACACATTTTTTTGAATGATCTGTGTGCCCACGCTCGTAAGCGATTCGCTGGAAAGATGTCAGAGAAGATTTCTAAAGGTACCTGTCCGGTAAAGAGCTGAATTGTAAAACATGAACTAATCAAGTTATTTGTGCTTTCCACGTGTCGCAACTGATAGCCAAGTGGATGATTTTAATACATTATTCATGAATTCAGAACGTCAACGACATGGGGGCATTGGTGAATATCAGAAAATCTTTGGTGGGGTAGCAACACAACTGAAGGTTATTCCATAGAAAATAGCATTGCAAGTTCTATTTTATCCGTCTTACAGATATTGCTTTTTTTAAACCAGCCCGTCTACTATTCAGATTATCGCGTAACAAACTTGCCACAACTCGATATCTGGTCTAATAAAATATTTACGAGGTATATCTAATAATACCTGA